GCAGCGCACCCCCCCCCCCGGGGCCCCCACCCTGGGGAGGCTATGCCTGGGAGAAGGGTTAGGTCCTAGGGGACCTGTACTGCGGCTCCCCCCGCCCCGTCCCCAAATCAGCCCACACCCCACTCGCACTCTGCCCAGCTTTATTCGAGGTAAAGCACTTTGGTATGGGGCAGCGCACAGGGGCTTAGCACCACACAGCACCCACTCCCTGCCCCCATGCCCCCCTTGCCCCCATCCCTCTCCTTATAAGAGAGGAGGGCCACCCCCCCCCCAACCCCCCCCTCCCCATCCCCATGGGGAGCCCCTGCCCCACAGCAGGGAGGGCAGAGGTGGGGCAACCACACAGCTCTTCCTCCCCCCCCCCGTGAAGGGCAGCCCCCCAAAACGAGCTACCTCAGAGGCAGGGTAGGGATATCTTAAATAGGTCCCCTCCAACACCACAGAAAGGGGGTGCCAGGGGGACCAGCTCAGTCCAGGGAGGGGTTAGTGCCAGCTTGCAAGCAGCAACAGCACCCCAAGTCCCAGCGGTGCCAGGGAGTCAGGGGCATCGCTGCGGGGGCCAGCAGGCACCTGGCAGCCGCTGCCCTGCCAACCTTGGTAGCAGTGGCAGTGGAAGTGGGTCCGTAGGAAGAGGATGTCAGCTGAGGACAGCTGGCCCTCGGCCCAGAAGAGGGGGTGCTGGGGGTGGTCCTCGTCCCGGTGCCGCAGCTGGAAGCTGGTAGAATTGAGGTGGAGGAAGACATCGGCGGTGCTGTCCTGGCGCAGGCAGCGGCCCCGACCCTGGCACAGCACCGTGCTGCAAAGCTGCGCTGCCGTCGTGACATTCACAATGTAACGGCCCAGGTCACCCTCCAGGTAGTTCTTGATGATCTGGCACGAGTCCTGGGGAAAGGGGGGGGATCAGGGGCATGTTGGGGTACCCCAGGGAGAGAAGCACCCCAGATGGACAGGACACCCCAGCCTTGAGCCACTGGTCCCCCTCCGGGAGCCAGTGACTCTCCATCCATCATCTACCTCCCCAAAAGCATGCTGACCCCAAACCTACCCGGTTTTTGGTGTAGTCCGCGTCGCCCCAGAAGATGGCCCCAGCTGCACCCAGCGCCGCGCTCTCTCCAATGGTGGAGATCAGGTCCGGCTGCAGGGACAGAGCCCAGTTAGTGCCCACAGACCCCACACAGCACCCACACCCCCAGCACAGTGTGCCCCAAAGAGCCCACTGTGGGGTCAGGGAGGCAAGACCCCATCTCTGCTCCAGGCCACGGGGAAGAGGGGACTGTCCCAGCTCTTTGGGGACAAGGCTCCCCACCACTGCCCTCCTCCTCCCCGGGGGGCTGAGCCAGCACAGCACAGGGACTATGGGCTCACACAGCCCAGGGTCCTGGCTACCAGGACCCAGGAGTCCTGCAGCACCTCCCAGGTATTTCCCTGCTGATGGTGACCATTGGTGTGAGTCCTGCTGCCAGACACCTCACCCATAATGGGGGTAGTTCAAGGCACCCCATCACCCACCCACAGAGGGGCTGAGCTGCGGGTACCCACACCGTGACCCCCCCCTTGGAGGAAGAGAGGCAGGGCTGGGCAAAACTCCTGGTCATGGGGCCAGCCCCGCACCAAAGGGTGCTGCTCCCCACCCCACCAAACCACGAGGTGCTGGTAGCACCGTGAGGGTGGACACCAGCCTCCAGAGCCACCCCGCTCCAGGGGAGTGAGATGGGACACGGGCAGAGGGACCACCTCTGCTGACCCCAGTGCCCAGGTGCCCGGGGCTTGGGACAAGGACATCCTGGTGGCACAGCCCTACCTGGCTGAGCACGTCCAGCTTGCGGATGTAGGTGGGCCGGGTGTAGACAAAGACGGGCAGAGAGTAGCCATCATGGTGCTGCTGCGAGATGCGCATGGCTTCCATCACCCGCGCTCGCACAAACTTGCGGCTGTTGGGGGTGGAGGCCAGGAGCAGGTCGAGGTAGATGGAGGGGTAGAGGGCCATGCTCTCCTTCCAGAGCCACGCCAGCTGGTCGTTGCGCGTCTTCTCCACGTCCGGGCACTGCCCGGTGTAGCTCTCCTTGTTCTTGCTGTAGTCATGGTTGTAGCAGTCGGGGAAGAGGTAGAACCCCCAGAGCTGCTTGGGTCGGAAGCTCTTGGCCACACGCAGCGTGCGCACCATGAACTGCCGGGCGGCCGACTCGAACTCGAACACCGCCTGCTTGTTCACCTCCTCGCGGGACCAGGTGGGCTGCCGCTGGTACGTCGGCTGCCGCTGGTACACCAGCTGCTGCGATACCTCCCGGTAGATGTCCTTGGGTTTCCAGTTGCGAGCCCAGATGGGCCGCCACTCCTCCCAGTCGATGATGGCCAGCCCCTCCTTGGTGGGCGAGCGGATGTACTTGCTGATGCCGTCCTGGAGCCGGGCGAGGTGCTCGGACAGGCTGCTGTTTTGGGGGACGCCGCCGTTGATGGCCACGCGCTGGCTGTTGTAGTAGGGGTAGAGCCCCAGGCGCTCCTTGTAGAAGATGGTGATGTTCTGCCCCACGAAGCCCTCGTTGGGGGACGCTTGCAGGTCGAAGATGCTGAAGTCGAGGGACACGTGGAAGCGGGGCTTGCAGTCCTGGGTGGGCACGTTCCAGGCCACCAGGAAGGGCCGGCGGGTGAGCAGGGGGGCGGCCGACGGCTTCTCGGGGGGCTGCCGGGCCAGGGCCAGCAGGGCCAGCC